GCCAGTAGAATCTTTGGCATCTAAGGCCAATGCTTGACTTAACTGTTTCCCAAGGTCCATTTTGCATTATCAAGCATTACATCAAGCACCCCGCCATCCTGTTCCCCAAGACAAACAATGATCTGCTTTTGGTCACCAAAACTTACATCCAGCACAATTTCATGTAAATGAAAATCATACACTTTTGTTTTGTCTCCTTTCATTTAGCATAATTATTATGAGATCTGTCCATGCTATTGCATGTATCAAAAGCTTTTCTTTTTTAATTGCTATTAATCCACTGCAAAGAATATATACCACAACTTGTTTACCTGTTCACCCATTGATTTCCAGCTTTTAGCTATTTATTTTTTGGGGGAAGGGAGGGTAATTGGATTATTAAAAATTTATCTATTTATTTATTTTAATAGAAGTACTGGGATTGAACCCAGCACCTTGTGCATGCTAAGCATGCACTTTACCACTGAGCTGTACCCTCCCCTCAGCTTTTAACTATTATAAGCAAAGTTGCTATGAACATTTATGACTGAGTCTTTACACGGACATATGTTTCCACTGCATATTCTAGAAACAAATCTTTTGTTGGACATATGTTTTGCAAATATTTTCTCCCAGTGTGGCTTTTTATTAGTCTAACAGCATCTTTTAAAGATCAAAGTTTTCAGTTTTGATGAAATCCAATTTGTGAATTTTCTCTCTATTTTTTTTTGGCATTTATAGTTCATGTTTTGTGTGTCCTATTTAAGAAATCTTTGTCAAACCCAAGGTTACTACTCTTATTTTCTTCTAAAAATTTTATAATCTTAGCTCTTATATTGAGGTCTATGATCTGTTTCAAGTTAATTTTTTAAATCATACATTATACAATCATTAAGATTTATATCTACAAAGAGCTTCAGTATCATAAAAATACTCATTTATACATATTAACTGAAGAGAGCTCAATACAACTTTTTATACATAGGAAAGGTACCACTTGATAATCAAATTTTGACAAAAACAAACCAATGGACAAAACCTACAACTAGAAGAATGGAAGAAAAGGTGCTGGAATATTTGAATTACTATTTTTAGATTATGTGACCATTGCCTATTTCCTGTTCCTTTTTACTTGTCTATACTTTTAGTGTTTTCTGTAATAAGCATCAACTACTGTTATATCAAAAATTAATTAGAATATTAAGAAAAAGTCATTTAAGAGAAGGCTCCCTGAGTCTGGGCTGCCTTCACACTGCTCTTTAGTGTGTAAAAGGCCCCGTTGGAGAACCTAAAAGATGAACATCCTACCAAGAATTTACCCTCTCCCAACCCCAATCAGTATTGCTCAACAGCAAGAAGAGATGAAACACAGAATTTCCAAAGAGAATCCTCCAAAGGGAATGTGAGTTTAGCTGAAGCCTCTCAAGGAAACCAAATACAAATCCCAATACCATCCCAATAAAGGAGAAGTGTTCCAGCAGAGGGAGGGCTGGTTGCCCCACCTGGCCCCCCACTGAAATGGCCTGTTCACCCACCAGGCACTGTGAGTCGCAGGTGTGCGTGTCCAACAGCTTCTCCACTCACTCAATCTCCGAGGGCAAAGAAAGCTTATGAAATTCTCTCGTGGAGGCACTCACTGTCCTTCTGCCTCAATCTGCTTGCAAAGAAACAGCCCAAGTCTGCAGCCTCGTCATCTGCCCCAGGCCCGCCTGGCCGCCTCTCCCTGTGAGTGCCTGCCTGGCGGGCAGGATTTACCTCCTGAGAGGCTGCAGAGGCCAGACTGGCTGACGGGATTGCCTACAGATGTCTCACAGACAGAAAGATTACTTTCCTGACTGATGAGTAAATGGGGCTGTCAACATGACCTCCCTGGTCAGAGGGGACCCCTGAAGTATAATGTGGGAGGACAGATGTTTCATCTGGGAAGGTGTCCAAGACCCTAAGAGGAGGTCTGCACTTGGCTGATAGGGCTGAGTAATTCTGCCTCGGGGTGGGGAGGCTGGACCCACAACCACAGCCAACACCGTTGCGGAGCCTCCCCAGGTGTAGGTCTCCTCCCAAATCCTGATGAGGCAGTGGGCACCCGCCTCAGTCAAAGCCTCCTCTTAGGGCTGCTTTTCCAGGGAACAATCGGCATCCATCATCAAAAATGCAATCTTCTTGCAAGTCCTACCTTGCTGAGAATCACAGAGGGCGGCACAAATGGCATTGGGACCCTCCTACAACACCTCAAGGTTTCCTAGGGCAGGAACTCCAGAGGCCAGAACAGTCAGACCAGGATGAGGGCAGGGCCGCTGCATGAGCTACTTCCTTCTCAGGGGCATGCGAATGGGAGGTTTGGTGCCTGACCTTCCAGAAGGAATCAGACAATAACAGTAACTATCATCACAATTGTTTTAGTAACTGTCAGGTTAGCTGTCATTATGTTACTATGTACCTCACACACCTCCATCTTATTGACCTCTCATCAAAAATGGACACAAAATGCCCTACGCAAGAATGAGCAAAACTTAACTGCCCACAAACCCTCTCCACAAGAATTACTAGAGGAAGTATCCCAGCAAGTGAGACAGAGGAAGGGGGTAAGTGCTTTCATTAAAACCACTTTACAGAGGAGAAGGCACAGATTCAGGACAGTAAAGAAACTTGCCAAGGGCACACAACTAGGAAGGAGCCAAACTGGGAACGGAGCCTTGAAGGGTCTCAGTCCGAAACCTATGCTCTTGGCCACTGTAATTTTGTGGCCACCAGGAGATGTGAGAGATGAGAATTACAGTTTCAACACACAAAAAAAAGTTGCGGTGTTTCCAACACAGAAACATGGGGTACCCAGAAGAACCCCATTTACACCTGGATAGGCCTGAATACCAAAAAGGATGCTGCCTCGGTCTCAAGACAGACTTGAGCTTAAAACTAAAAATCTCTTGTCTGGCACTTACAGAAAGGGCTGTATTCTAGGAGGAAACAGGCAATGGACTGTTCACGTTACACACACACTCGTGCACACACACAGACACAAAGCCAGATGGCCAAACAACCTACAGCACTCTACCAAAGGGTATTTGGGTATTTGCAGCAAAAGAGGCTACATCTTGCCTCCTTCAGAGATGGAAGAAATCATGGGTGGCAGAAGCATCTAGGATAGTTTGCTCAGAGCATGTATGCCTTAAAAGGATGTTTGAATAATAACAACAACAAAAATCTGTTTTTTAAATCTCACTCTGCAGTCAATGTGATTTCCTTCAGGGTAGGAATAGGGTCCCTTGTTTACCTCTGTAGCCTCAGTCCTAACACAAGCCTGGCACATAGTAGGTACTCAAGACCTTTCTGTTAAATGACAACAAATGAATGGATAGACAAAACAGATTGAATCGTGAGGCCAACACATGGTACAGACAAAAAACACAAGCTTGGGAGCTAGGCAGTCCTAGGTTTGAGTCACGGCTGCCACTTACTGGCTATACAAAAGCAAGCTACTCATGCCTCTCTCTGCCTCAGTCCTCTCATTTTTAGAGCGATGACAAAAATAAATACCAACTTGCCACAATGGTTGGAGGAATTCAAGGCTGCTGGTTCTGAGCACAATGCCTGCCGCACACTGAAGGCTCAGGGATGAGATCTATCTTTACTTCCAGGGAGGACACTCCAGTCTGGGGGAAGAGCTAATATGTTGTAATACCTCAAATCTGATTTGAGCTTGGCTATTTTAGGTGATCACAGAGCCTAGGTCTGTTGCTGTAGGTGCCAGGTTTGCAGGGGCAGGGGGATCGGGGGCTCTGTTCCATGCTGTCCCACCACCCAAGGAGCGCTGGTCCTCAGCTGGGCCACGCTGTCAGAGGACAGGTGCTCCCCACGCAAGTTTGGAGGGAACCACATAGGGGACCGAGGGAAATTAACGCATGTCCCAAGAGAAGTAGCCAAAGTGGCAAGCATTACTTAGACTTTAAGAACTAAGAGATGGTAGAGGACGCCTTCTGCACGGTCCCAGGGTCAAACTGAAACCAAGGAGCAAAAGTTATAGAGAGGCAGAATTCAGTGGGAATCGAGTTCCAGTAGGCTACTTTCTTCGCCTGTGGTTACGGTGAAGTGCAGGTGAATGGCAGAGAAAGTTGCCGAATCCAAGTGTGTGTAATCAAGGGTAGTAACCCAAGTGTGTGTGACTCCAGTGCCCATCGCTGCACCTCTCCACTGTACAGGTGGTACGCTGGCACCGAAATCACCCTTCTCCTACCCGTACCCCATCCAATCCCATTCTTTAAAAAGAATGTGTGTGTGTGTGTGTGTGTGTGTGTGTGTGTTTTCTTGCTTCAAGTATCTGCAGGACTGAAGGCAGAAACAGCCTGAATGCAAAGGCTCTCTCTGTCACTTGTGTGAAAGCCTAAGCCCACTGCGTGCTGGCAATGGGTGGGGCAAGAGACAGAGGCTTTAACAGCTGTGAAGAGGAGAGACCTTCCCTCCTGGCCTGGAGAAGGCTGTGCCCTGAGGAAACAGCAACGCATGTTCTCGGGAGGAATGGTGGCATAGTGGTCTTGAGGAGGCAGGACCCAGGGCTCCAGCCTGGCGAAGATGCACACATTCCATACAGCATGGAAGCAGACAGCCCTCCTCCTTCCTCCCCAGTCTCAACGGACCTCAAAGGATCATCAGAGTGAGGATGTCAGTGGCAACCAGGAGACTAAATGTACAGCTTCTGTCTTCTTAGCTAGAAGCTTCCCGGATCCTGGGGTCATCCAAGGAGGAGGAAGGCCCCACCACAATGGCCAGGAAGGGACTTTCTGTGCATTTGCTTGAATGAGGGCTCAGAGTTAAATAAAGTTGATTCAAAGGAAATCAAGATGTTAACATTCTTTGCAAACATGTCTTTGAGACCTGAGATTCATACCGCAGCAAGAGTTCAGGTACTACGTACCATGCAAGACACAGATACAGACACCTGCTCCCCCTCACCCCCAAGTCCCCCAGTCAGAGATCAGGGACCCCAGCTCTGCTGGATGCAGAGCGCCTCCTAGCCCTCGGCTTACCTGGGGAGCAGGTGCTTGCGGCTGACACACAGGGCGGTCTGGTAGTCCTGGGTCACACAAACCTTATGAGGGCTGCATTTCACCTTCAGGCAGGGGTCCTTGGATGGGTCCAGGGCTGAGTGAAAAGAACACAAAGAGGGGCATTAGGACCTCCTGGGAAATTTAATTTCCAATTCTACTCAAATAAATGAGTGGGAAATAAACAGACCATGTGTTTGCACTCTATGCCGTTTTCTTAGGCTGGAGGTGATTGGGATGAAAATGCAAACCAGGGGGAAGTCTGTGTCTATGGTACGTGTTTTTCTTCAGCATCAGGACAGCGATTCTTTCGTGCTTTGGGGAGTTTCAGCATCTTCTTCTTGGCAGGAATTACTTTTAAAAATCCTTTAGCATCTTGAGTGTTCTAAGGACCAAAAGTGACATTTCCTTCTTTGGTTATTTGTCTGCTATTGCTTTTTATGACTTTGTGCCCAATTTTACTTATTTCCTACGGTGTACTAAGTCCCAGAGGATGGAGTATTGAGGTCTTCAGTTCAATCAAAATAGACTATATGCATAAGTAAGTCTCTTTTAAGTTTTGTGAAGAACTTCAGGATGCACAAGCCAGTCCAGTGCCACACAAACTTACAATATAATCAGGCAGGAAGAAAGAAAGCTGACATATAAATATTTATTGTGCAAGGGAGAATTAGATAAGGGCCATGCCGGGCATAGAAAATGATAACAGAGCTTGAGAGCAAAAGAGAGATCAATTTCTGGGGCAGGGATTAATGAAGCATTAATATGTGAATTGGATCTTGAGGGATGGGTAGGATTTTAAAAAGCAAAGAGAGGAAAGGCAATCTAGGCCAGGATGGGCAGCACACTCCAAGGTAGGGAGGCATGTCTGGGCAATCCTCAAATATTCAATCTGACTAGACTGTGTGCTTTGTGGGAGGGAATAATGGGGCGGGGGGTGGGGAGGGCGTTGATTCAGCCAAGTCACTGCAGAAAAGGTCTCCAAAGACAGCAGTTCGTATATTACATTTCCTAGAACAGGCAGAGCAGTGAGCCCCTGGCTAATCAGCACTTGCAGGCTGAGGTGCATGTGCTCATCAGGGCAGAGAAGAGCCTACAGGGAATTCTCTGCAAAACAAAAGCAATTGTGCCATCTCCCAGCTCCGGGGCCTAAAGCCCATCAGGTGATAAATCTTTTATAACTGCTCTCCACAGCCTGGGGAGGGAATGTTCCCCAGTCCTCCCCACACAAACATTTGGTTAAACAAACTGGCATCCTAAGCAGGGACAGCACACTGCTGTCATAAACGTTGTGGTCCCCTCAACCTCTGGGCTCCCCAGTGATCACGAGCTCCCTGCACTTGGAGGAAGTCACGCTTCCTATCAGCCCACCCAGACCCAGAATCTCAATGCCCTTCTCTTCAGATAGCTGCTGGTAATTCCTCCAGGGACCTGCACACACGCTATCCAAAGGCATTTTTCTGTTGCTTGAACTGTGCAGGGCACAGCTTCAGCCTCTGCAAACAGAAACCTGGGTGTATTCTCAGGCCAGTCGGGTGAGCAGCAAGACCCAGGTCCTGGTCCCAGGGAGTCATCCAGCAGAGCTGACTCCCCAGGGGATGGGATGGACCTAGCAGCCCAGAGCTTAGCAGCAGGAAACATGCAGCAAGATAAAGAGAGGCTGACTAGAGCCCCAGAGACAGGGCACTCACTCTGAGCTCTTAAGCTGAGGGTTTCACCTCTGGGAGCTGAGAGGCAGGGGGCCTGTGTCTGCCCTCAGAGTCCTCTGAGGCTGGGCCTTCCAGAAACTTCCAGCAGGAACTTCTGGTCCCAGGTGGAAGTCTGGCTTCCTGGAAACATCCTCAGGAGAGGCCAGGAGGCCGGTGCATCTTAGGCCAGTGGCCTCCCTGTGCACCGCCCACCACCCCAACCCCAGGGCGGCAGTCCAGCCAGCTGTGACTTGCTCTCCTAGACTCACACAGCATCAAGCGAACAATGAACAACTACCAGGTGACCACTGATGATGACCACGCTGGCCTTCACAGCCCCTTTTCAGACATCCAGTCACCAAAGGATGAAGTAAGACATGCACGGATCCCAAGAAACTCGAGGACCAGCCCCGCAGCCTCAGTCGCAGGTGCCCACCGAGGCACTGCCCTGACAGGCGTCAGGTGTCCTGGAACCCTTGGGATTTTCCCCGGAGGGGATTTCAGAGATGGGGAACGCCAGGCTGACCTAGGGTAATGGGTGTCCAGATCCACAGAACTACAGGACAAGCTTAAGGGCTGAATTTCAGCTGGTCTTTGCTTCTGCAGCCAACTTCAAAGATCTGCAGGGTCCACGCTGGGATCCAGATGGCCTCGTGGGCAGCACGATCTCAAGGAAAGTAAGTCAGCTGAGCCTGGTGGGAACAGCAGACTCTAGGCCCAGGGTTCAAGGTGAAGGCTGGCCGCACTGCTTCCTAGCCTCTATACACCCCTTCCCTCGTCTGTGAAAGGGAAGAGTAACCGTACCTGGTACCGCTTTCGGTTGTCATGAGGGTAAGTGAGCCACTCTTTTAAGGGCTTAGAACAGACGTGGTTCGGGTTAAGCACCTCGTGGCTGATGGTGAATTTTTGGCGTGTCTGTATTTTGTTCCCAGAGTGCACAATAAGCCTTGATCATAACAAGAACGATAGCTAACACTTACCCAGCGCTTTTGAAACATGCAGGCAGTGAACTAAGCCCTGTAATTGGATTACCGTCCTTAATTCTCACAAACACCACAGAGCTGGCTGTGGTTCGTGTGCCCATTGCACAAAGAAGCTGAGAGGTGCAGGCGGTGTTTGACACCTAGTCGGCTGACTCCAAACCCTAACTCCTCACCACGATACGCCAGCGGTCTGAAAATCACCTAGAAGTCTCCTTTTAAAAGTTGATGTGCGGCTCCACCTGACACCAAGTAGAGAGCCCAGAGGCACCACGTTCCCGAGAGGATGCTGGGGCAGAATGAAACTTGAGGAGTAAAAGCAAGTGGCAGCCAGGGGGCCCTGAGCTGGGCCACACAGGACTGCCCCAAGCTGGTGCCACACACGGCCCTAGCGCTCCCCAGAAGGTGGGGTGCTGACCCTGGGCAGCTGTGTCCTCTGCCTAACCGCTGTGAATGCAGTGGACCCCAAAGGAGTCATCTGGCCAGTAGCTGTCAATTTTCTTTCTGCAACCTTGCCATCTGACACCCTACCATTAGGCTAAACGGCCCCCTCCAATTCCTGAAGCTACCATTCCTGAAGAAAGAGAGAGAAAGAAAGAGCAAGAAATAAATCCACTTTAACCAGAAATAGTCATAAATAAAAATCATCAGTTATTTAACTCCATACACAAACTTACTTAACAATTTGCATACAGAAATCAAGTCTGCTAAAAATTAATTACCAGGATCTGAAGACTTCAAACATGCATGGGAATTATTTAAGAGTAAACGAACTTCACAGAACAACAAAACAGTAACAAATCAAGCTGTCAGGGTTTGTTTAATCACCAGGACGCATCTTGCTTTTGAAAAACAGCAATATTGGGATTGAAAGGGGATGAGGATGGTAAAGGAGTGTGTCATTTACATGTAAATGCTGCCTCTCAAATTCGCTTTTCCCTCCCATACCCGACAGGGCTGGGTGGCTCCACTTTCTCAAGGGACTGATAGGCGATCAGAATAATAAGTGGAATTTGAAAGGCGCTTTAATAAGCCGCAGGGAAATTGTGCAGGTGAAGACGGAGGGAGAGAGGGCTGAGGGTGAGTGATAACCCGGACCAGGGGTAGAAGCTTCCTTGTCAAGGTCCTAATGAATTCTGGACACTGTGCTCCAAGTTTCCCTCTTTCAGAGCACGTGCTTGGTGATAGGACGCAGCCATCCCCACAAGATGCCAAAGCCCCGCCTCCCGTCCACCTCTTCTACCATAATAACTGCAGGACTCATTGTGTATTGAAACAGGAGATTGTGCCTAGAATGGAGCAGACAGGCATGGAAGGTTAATGCCATCTTTCCTGCTCCCACACACAAACCAATCAAGTGTCAACTGGCAAAGACACATGTCCAATTAATTTTTTCAGTAACTTCTACAAAAATTTTTTTCAAAGAAAAAAAACAAGAATGAATTAATTTAAGCAGAAATTTGTCAAGCTGGAAAACACTGAATTTAAAAGCCAGTTAATTACAGGCTTTGTGTAAGTTTTTTTTAATTAATTTTATTTTTTAAGCTCACTGCTTGGTCTCAATTAAGGTAGGGATATTTTAATGTAATTGTTTCTGAACTTGTTTTCCAGTACAAGTTAATTTTTAATTAGCTATATTGATTTTAAAACTCTGAATCAAGCCTTTCTGCTGCCCGTAGGCACATCCTATAACCTCACTGGCAAAGGGTCATAACGCCTAGAACAGCAGAGCAGGGTACCACCTCAGAGATGCTGAGATGAGAGGATGTTCCATTTTGTGTGCTGATCAAAGGACCCCTAAGAGTCACCTAAGAGATACATCTTGGGTTTATTCCATTCATAGACATAGAGCATCTGCTCTGTACAGGCTCATTTTATTTTAGGCTGGAGGCTGGGAGTTCTGGAGTGAACAAGATGTCAGCCCAGCCCTCCAGAAGCTCACAGCTCAATAGAGGAGATAGGAAATAAGAGGGTAAGTTCTATTTGTTACAGGAGTCAAGGAAGGTACCTCTTCCAGCCTTTCAGTGGGTCAGGGGAGACCTCCTGGACAGACTGCTATCTATGGAAAAATGAGTTTAACCAGGTAATAGGATGAAGAAGAACTTTTCAGGTAAAAAGAAGCTCCCTTTCCAGATGTAAGAGAAATCACAGCAAGTCTGGGGAACAGCAGTGTTCCATCAGGCTGGCAGCGGGCTCGGGCTGGGGTGGTGCAAGAAAGGACTGGAGAACGTGGCAGCGTCATCTTGGGGGGCCTTGAAACCACAGTGAGGACTCCGGGGCCCATGGCCACCAAGTTTGACAGTGACAACAAACATGGCATGCCCTTCCATGCTGAAGTTGCTAGAGAAGGGGTAGAAGAGAGAACCGTTTACACACATTTTACATGGAAAGTGGACCTTGGATCAGAATAGACACACTGCACACTCTCA